GCACCAACGATAAGGCAGTCGTGTGTGTCGTGTGTGAAGGAGGGAGGTAGGTAGTAGTTGTCGTGCTGTGGCTGGTACATGCATGAACGCACTCACCCCTCCCCACTCCTAACCCCACGCATGATAATCACACACGCATTGTACCATTGTAACTGGTGGACACAGGGACGCACTCACCCCCAGGCCACGGGACCATAATCACACACACTCGCTGCAACACGCCACCGGATACCATGAAATTATTAACATTCTGACGCCAACAACTGCAATATTTCCCATGGCTCAGGAAGCTCCCCGCCAACCCTCTCTGATTTATTCATAGAAAATTTTTGCATCTCCGGCCTTCCAGCAGAGGTCGCCAGGGTGTGTTGCAGCCTCGCTCCTGCGCTAAGGTGGATGTAACCGCCCTGCACGTTGCTCCCTACTGCGCAGCTCTCACTTTGCAATATCACTACTGTACGTTCTTCCCACGTTCAACAAGCTCTCAAGATATTTCATGATTCAAGCTTTTCGATATCAGTGGATTTAGTCATCTTTATATAGTCTCTGATCATTCTTTAAGCTTCAACCTCTGTGATAACTTGTTCTGTTCATCCTCTGTGATATCAACTGCTATATTGGTGACGATCAACATCCTGTTTCACACACACATCTGTGAGGGAGTTACTACACCACGTGAGGTCCCTCATAACACCATCCGGGAGGGAGTTACTGCACCACGTGAGGTCCCTCATAACACCATCTGGGAGGGAGTTACTACATCACATCAGGTCCCTCATAACACCATCTGGGAGGGAGTTACTACACTACTTGTTTACTGTTCAACACCTACATTAATCTGTATGTTCACTGTATGTTCCTTTACCTTTCTCTAATGAAGGCTTTTGTTAAACCACCATGTATGTAATAAGTCATTTATGTCCAATGTATATTTTCAGCCTTCGGACTGCAGAACTTTTTTCAATAAACCGTAAATTATTATTATTATTATTATTGTTGTTGTTGTTGTTGTTGTTGTTGTTGTTGTTGTTGTTGTTGTTGTTGTTGTTGTTGCACACAGGAACCGAAACTATTTTTATACACTAATAAAATATCATAAACAAAAGACAGAAAAGTTATATTAATAATTAACGTTATGAAAGCTCCGTCCTACAAAGATCTTGAAGCGAGTCACTCATGAGGCTGAGAGACTCTTAAGACTACAAGGGAGAGATCCTTCTACGAGACTGAGAGTACTTGACATGAGACACAAGTTAAATCATGCTGTATCTCTCTCTCTCTATCTTTCTTGTCTCTCTCTCTCTAACTACCTACCCCCTTCTCTCTCTCTCTCTCTTATCCCTCTATCTCTAACTACCTACCCCCCTTCTCTCTCTCTCTCTCTCTCTCTAACTACCTACCCTCTCTCTCTCTCTCTCTCTAACTACCTACCCTCTCTCTCTCTCTCTCTAACTACCTACCTATCTATCATTATCTCTCTACTTTATTCGTCTCCTTCCTTCCTTCCTCCGCCCATACCACTATTATGGTATGGGCGCCTTTCGAGTGCTGGGAAGAAGTACCTCCTAACCCAGACAGACAGACAGGAGTGAGACAGCACAACAGGAAGGATGGCAGATCTGAGGACGTGCGTGTGTGTGTGCAGGACATTACCATACTGGGCGTTAACCAATCTACGCAGCTAATACAGAACTTGGACCAACCTCTCCCTATATTATTTTAACTGCTGATTAAACACCCTAACTCTACCTTAAGGGGTTAGGTTAGGTTTAATTTAAGGAGTTTGATCATCAGGTGAAATAAGCTGGGGGGCTGATCTTCACATGATCCTAATAATAATATGGACATTGCTGAGTCTATTGAGTGTTGAAGCTCTATTGAAGCCGCCTGATAGATAGTGTACATTTAATTGAAGAAAATCATTAGATAACTTAAGAGTGTCGTCTGGATTGGTGTGAGGGGCTGAACAAACACTCAGAGATGAACCAGTTTGTGTGTAAGTCTCCACCACCGTCCTCAACATCACGTAAAAGGTGAACAACAGAAAATATATAAACATCAAGACAGGACGCCGGTGTTCTGTGGAAGGTTACTAAAGGTAATAAAACATCATAAACAGCCAATAACAACTGTGATGAATGTAAACTGATAAACGTCCTTCGTGTTCAACAAGAGACAGACAAAAACACTTGAATATTTCACAACATAACTCCTTCAGCTAACTGTTGGCACCAATGTTATAATCATACGACGCCACAGCCAGACCACCGGCCAGCCCCTCCTGCTAAAAAGAGAATATTGTGCACATATTTTGTTGTGTCGTGTGCTCACAACAGCGTATAGGCAAGGCGGCTGCTGTCGTAATCTTGGAATATATGGGGAGAACTACGTGGTGACAACACTGGTGTGTGTGTGTTTAATGTTCCACCACTGTACTATCCTCGTCCAGGTACAATGACAAGGCACGCCAATACGTGTCAGAGCCAGCAGGTGACCACGAGGGCTACACCACCACACTGTATCCCAGCAGCAGCAGCTGGGAGAACATAAAGCATTTCTTCCGGGTAAAACCGTAAATGAATTATGATGATAAAACTATCGGAGAGTAAAACCAGTCATTATTGTCGAGAGAATTAGAATTTCGTCATAACAATCCTTTGGTCACACCCAGACATGACAGGCACAAGCCCTGGTCGTGTCACAGGCGCTGGTCAACCCACAGTATCAAAGACTCTGGTAGAGCTGCAATATTGAAGGTTCTCGTGGCTCCTCCATTACCGTCGGGGGAAACAAATGCGCCCCGTCCTTCTTGCAGCTACTTCATCAATCTTCCTGTCGCTTCGTCAGCTCCTACTCAGACTCTATATCGGCCTCCAGCAGCAGTGCGCCCCCCCCCCTCCACGCTCACTACGGCCTCCAGGGTACTACAGTGGTCCACAGCGACCAATATCCTATTAAAATGAGCTCCACGGGTGCCATATTGGACCAACCACCTGATATTTAATAATAAAAATGGTGCTTGAGGGCGGGGGAGAGGCTCACTTTACCAGCTTCAGATCAATATGGTCGCCGGTAACACGATGCCGCTCACAACCTAATTAATATTATGTTCTTAAATAAACTCGACCACTCACTACCCGACGGTAAAGTTGTCCCTGGTTCTGCGGCTAAAAGGGGAATCTAATACCCAACTAAAAGGGACTTCTCTAGTATTGTAGTAACATAAGACAACAATTTTCCTGCTGAGAAAGTGTTCCGGGTAAGGCAAAGACCTGAGGCATTTAAACACCCAAATTGTTGTCTTTTGTCGCTCTTAGGAGAATTTAATTACGGCACCTGTTGAAAGGGACTGTGAACAAGGGTGAAGTGTGTAACATGACCTCGTGGCTTATCACAGCACACTAACACAGCCACCACAGCACCAACATGACCTCGTGGCTTATCACAGCACACTAACACAGTGACCACAGCATCAACATGACCTCATGGCTTATCACAGCACACTAACACAGCCACCACAGCACCAACATGACCTCATGGCTTATCACAGCACACTAACACAGCCACCACAGCACCAACATGACCTCATGGCTTATCACAGCACACTAACACAGCCACCACAGCATCAACATGACCTCATGGCTTATCACAGCACACTAACACAGACACCACAGCACCAACATGACCTCATGGCTTATCACAGCACACTAACACAGCCACCACAGCATCAACATGACCTCATGGCTTATCACAGCACACTAACACAGCCACCACAGCACCAACATGACCTCATGGCCACACTAACACAGCCACCAAGCACCAACATGACCTATACCACAGCACACCAACACAGCCACCACAGCATCAACATGACCTCATGGCTTACCACAGCACACTAACACAGCCACCACAGCACCAACATGACCTCATAGTTTATCACAGCACACTAACACAGCCACCACAGCACCAACATGACCTCATGGCTTATCACAGCACACTAACACAGCCACCACAGCATCAACATGACCTCGTGGCTTATCACAGCACACTAACACAGCCACCACAGCATCAACATGACTTCATGGCTTATCACAGCACACTAACACAGCGACCACAGCATCAGGGTTGCCTCCATGGGGAATAAGACACGGCCAATTCAGTGGGTCGCCATCACCGTCGCCGCCCGGAGTCGGGTCACCCACAAACTATGAGAGATGGTCTTGAGGGAGGCGGCAGAGCACCTTCTTCCGTTTCTTACATCACAGTGTTTACTTGGTCAATTCTGGCATCTATACTCTTGAGATACTTTTGGGTCTATTCTGACATCTATACTTTATTGATGTGATTTTGGTTAAGTTTTTGGTTCCAATCATGTGTTAAAATTTTCTACTTCAATCTCAGGATTAATTATTTTTCCTTCAGTTACTTTGTTTAGTTATCAAAGAAACATAATAATAAATTAGTTTTAGTTCATTATTCTCACTTTCAATGTTTTCCGTATTTTTTTTATAATCAATATACTTTATAAAGAAGTTTGACTCAATGTTTATTCAAAAAGTTTATATATTTTGGAAACTGCAGTCGTTTATACTTAACAGGAAGTGGAGAACAGGAGGGAGAGAGAGAGAGGGATGCATATTATTTATCTCTTGGTATTTGATATTTAAAGGAGTGGATCTCTTTATCGTAGTTCTGGATCCTGTGGTGTAGTGTCTGATTCCTCTGTGTCCCTCACGCTTGTGTTTATGGTGATGGTAAATAGGTTTCGCTTTTATTGATGGTGTTGTCATATGAAGGGTTCAGAACACACACACACAGTATCGTACGCGCTTCAAACTCTTGCATATAACATCTTTTAAAGCTAAGTTAATCATAGGTAATAAGTATTATTAAAAAAATAAACTTTCTAATAATGTTAATAAACTACGAAACAGCAATAAAACAACAAAACTGTAGACAAGATCAAGTTTATAGAGTAAAATAAAAATACATTCCCTTACCTTTGTACTCGGGGATAAATGTTTGGCTTCATCTCTATTCCATCCTTGATTTCGTCACTCAGTCCAAACCAATCACCGATGGGTACTCTGCGCATGTCCAGATCTTTAGCTCTTTGCCACTCACTCTCTAACCACTCACTCCCCCAGTCTTTAGTCTTCTTCAAAAGGTCCCCTAAATCCTTATCGTCGAGCCACTCAGGTTTCCAGTTCCCTGATTTCACCCATTCCAGGGATTTCCAACTGTTTACACTCCAGTCGTCCGTTTTCCAGCACCGCTCGCTCCAGGAACTGAACTTAGAACTCAACTGGGAGAGCACTGGGTTATTGAGCTGCTGGGACACATATGGCAGACTGAGCTGTTGTGGGAGCCTGGACTGCTGGGACACGTGTGGGAGCCTGGACTGCTGGGACACGTGTGGGAGCCTGGACTGCTGTGTGGGAGCCTGGACTGCTGGGACACGTGTGGGAGCCTGGACTGCTGGGACACGTGTGGGAGCCTGGACTGCTGGGACACGTGTGGGAGCCTGGACTGCTGGGACACGTGTGGGAGCCTGGGCTGCTGGGACACGTGTGGGAGCCTGGACTGCTGGGACACGTGTGGGAGCCTGGGCTGCTGGGACACGTGTGGGAGCCTGGACTGCTGGGACACGTGTGGGAGCCTGGGCTGCTGGGACACGTGGATGCTGCAAGGTCTCTGAGACACTTGGAGACAAGTAGGCAGGTGCAGGCGCTCGCCACTGAGTTGGTATGACTGGTGGGAGTTAATGCGTTGTTGAGTGACGTGGAGGCTGTTACGCTGCCAGGGCTCCTGAAGGATACTGGCGTGCTGGCGTTCCTGAAGGTTACAGGACTGCTGGGAGTGTTCAGCGCTAATGTCCTGCTGGAACTCTTGCAAACTGCTCGGTAGCTCCTGAGGAACACTCGGTTGGTGGGGTTCTTGAGGGTAAATGGTCTGTAGGAACGCAAGAAAGTTACCGGATAGTTGGAACACGTGGTGGCTAAGAGACTCCCGAGAACCTTGCGGACCGGTGGGTTGATGACGCTCGACAACTGTTTCCTCGGTGTCACCATAAGGCGTAATGCTACGGCCTGTCTTCTGTGGCTGAGCCGAGTGGCCCCAACATATTTCTGAGTTTTTCGGGTTACGGTTCTTGACATCGTGGGTATTGTTGTTATTCTGGCGTGCCAGCCGCTCCTCCCGGCTTGCCCTCGTCTGCAGGTACAAGGCAGCGGTGGCACTCTGAGCTAACATACCTCTTCCCAGCGCTTGCTACGGGGTCTCCTCATTCATCTAGAGAATGATGTCCTTCACAGTCACTCACTCTAACTCACCATACCAGGTCACGAATATGTAGAAATCATTTTCAAAGAGACTAATTAAAAATCTTACATTATTTCACTTAACCGAACAAATTTATATCATGTCACTCACAAGAGCATTTTTCTAACTCAAGTTTTGTTCCGTGGTCGCCGGTAGCCGTGTCATTGTCGCGAGAGCATCACCTTTCCCAGGACTTCAGGAAGGAGTTACTGTGTGTAGTGGCAGGAGGCGGAGTTGTCCACAAGGCCATAGTTGCCAGGTACACGTCCGGTCATCACTGTCGCCTCACGATATGTTACTCTCACTCGAACCCCAATAATTATGATCTATAAATACAAAAATTAACTAAATTTACAAAGATAATATCAATTCTATGACCAACGTAAACACGATACAATACACTGAACAACAGCATCACTGGTACCATCTTGTGCTACAGTCAACAATACCAGCAGTGAAACGCCCGACCACGCTCGTTGTCTGTTGTCTCAACACTGAACTACGAAGATCCGAAGATGATCCGACAGATAACAACCCGACAGAAGTCAGCTGAGTATCCGGCACAATCCGTTACAAATCAACTGAGTATCCGGCACAACTACACGAAATGTATTTATAGTGATTTTTTCTCTTCAGTGATGTTAACTATCAAAATATTACAGATGTACCGGCGTGATACTCGGGTGAGGCACACACGAGGGACACTCAGCTGACTTGATCTGTTTTTTGTAATTTTTGCCATGTATAGCAGCTACTTTACTGTGCACCCGATACTCATCCTGTGAGCGATAGCGCAAAAGGATTACAGAGTAGAGGTCACAAAGGGTCTATACAACACACCCCAGTGGTCAGTATATTATGGCATTGAATGTTACAATATGTCTAGCCACACACTTTGTTATTCACATCTGCGTGAGAGGTATTCAAGAACATTGTGTGTTTGGTTCTATACATAGGAAATTATATGGCTACTGAGTGCAAAAAAATGGATACAATTTTAATATGTCGGCTATCTTGCTGACTGTGGCCACAAGCAGAGCACCTCGTCTGTCACCCACCAGCCGTCTCTGCCACGCTGGAACTTAACCGACTGAGCCACCCAATGCTCCACACTTCTCGTACATCTCTATATTATAAGAATATTCTTCTATCTTATTATCTTAGACGACGAAGGAAAGTAAATTTACACGTGAAAGGCATTTTCTCTCCTGCTTGTGAGTGTCTGTGTACAGTATGTCTGCAAGCGTGTGTGTGTGTGTGTGTGTGTGTGTTAGCATTTTTTCCAGGTTGCGCCTCGTCTACAGCCAGACCCCGCTTACTGCCACTCTTATATCATTTACAACAGACAAAATCTCACAGTAGGAACCACTCGATGTCACTCAGTGAACAAGATCTACACACAGTCTCCACCAGTATATAAAAAACAAAACAATAAGAGGGCAAACAGAGGCTTGGGTAAGACTCCAGTTTAGTGAGGTTCGACCGTGGTGTTTTTAGCAAGGCCGGCTGGCGCCAAGGTTCTCCCTGACTACTGCTGTTGCCTCTGGAGTCTGCCTCATGCTACCTGGTCAACCTCACATCCTCCCAACGCCGATAAGTGTAAAAAAAGCGAGTCGGGGCGAGGAGTGGGGGTATGAGTGCGTGCAAGTGACAGACCGGTGGCCATGGAAGGTTTAAAATGGACATGACTACCTGTTCCTGATAATACCTGGCGCCTTGATAACACAGTAACAAGGGGAGGGGCAAGAGGTGGGGGAGGGAGGAAACAGCACTGTAGGAACACGTTTAGTAACTACAGGGGGAGTGTATTTAGATTATTAGAGCGGCCGAATACCTTTTTCTCACCCTCCCCTTCTGGTCAGACACCCTTAGAGTTTCGTACAAGAGACACTGAGGTGGACAATATTAGTTTGGGCTGGAAAGAAGGGAGAAAGGGAAGAGAGAGGGAAGGGGAAAGGAAGCGGGGGGGAATGAGAGGAGCAGGGAAAGGGAAAGGGGGGAGGAGAGAGAGAGGGAGGGGGAAGGAAAGAGAGAGGAACTAGAGGAGCAGGGGAGGGAGGGGGAAGGAGAGAGGGGGAAGGAGGGAGGGAGAAGGAAAGAGGGAGGAACGAGAGGAGGGAAAAGGCGAGGAGGAAATGATTTACGAGACAGTCACACGAATCTTAAAAAAGGTTACTGGTCAAACGTGTGCACCCCAGCCTTAATGGGCCTTACCTTCTGTTTGGACTGGCCCTCACCTGCCCTACAACCCATCACTCACACACGTCTCATAACACAAACAAACCTGATGACTGTTTACATTCACTTCACATGTTCTTTACACCCGACGATACAAAAACATATGAAATCGTTACGTCACTACACCTGCCTTAACAATGTACAGTAACCTCTTCTGTTATCACGGCTAGTCTAACACTCACTTTATGGTAAATTAATTAAAATCGTGTTTCTAATCAGGAAAAACTTCACTATAACAAAAAATAAATCAAGTGCTGCTTCAAATGTCTTGTTATGAGAACACGAAGGGAATCGACATGCTTCACCCAACGGCAACAGACAGACGGAGGAGTGTAAAAAAACCCCAAAGAGATAGTGAAAGAAAACGAAGCTACGGAGACACACAGCGGCACACCCTCACGTCACAGCGGCCACAACAACACTAACCCATCAACTTCACCCCCACGACGACACTGCCCAGTACCCACTGACCTCCTCTCCTCCACGAAGCATAAAAAATTCACGAACTGGAACCTTATTGACGACAAATGCACTAAACATCCTAATATATCAACGTTCTTTTCCCTAAATGTTTTGTTCACAGGTTACGGAATATTTCGGCTTTATCATTTAGATTTTATTGATCAAAACGAATGAAAAATAAACGAAGAAATTTGATCACCGAAGAATACTTTACTTGGGTACTTGGTAACTGTTGAGTGCTGGAGGAGTAACTTACCTCTCCCTCCCTCCCTCCCTCCGTAACTCACCCATCCCTCCCTCCAATCCCAAGGGTTAGGTTAGGTTGGAGCCAATTAGGATGAGGGTCCGTATGGCCGATTATCTCCCCATAGTAATGTTCACACACACACACACACACACCTCTCTCAGAAGACCTAGAAGGGACGGGAACCCATTCTCGGACGTCCCGTAGTCAGTCTTCGGCTATTGCCAGACGTGTAGGGGCCTCGTGGCTGGTTAGGTTAGGTTAAATTTTGTCCTGCATCGTCTCCATCCTGTTCTTGGACTTATAAATGACCTAAGATCCTCCCCCTCTCCCCATAAACGACGGAAGATCCTCCCTCTCTCCCCATAAACGACGGAAGATCCTCCCTCTCTCCCCATGAACGACGGAAGATCCTCCCTCTCTCCCCATAAACGACGGAAGATCCTCCCTCTCTCCCCATGAACGACGGAAGATCCTCCCTCTCTCCCCATAAACGACGGAAGATCCTCCCTCTCTCCCCATGAACGACGGAAGATCCTCCCTCTCTCCCCATAAACGACGGAAGATCCTCTCTCCCCATAAACAACGGAAGATCCTCCTCTCTCCCCCCAAACAACGGAAGATCCTCCCTCTCCCATAAGTCTCCCTCTCTCCCACACGGAAGATCCTCCCTCTCCCCATAAACGACGGAAGATCCTCCTCTCTCCCATAAACGACGGAAGATCCTCTCTATAAACGACGGAAGATCCTCTAAACGACGGAAGATCTCCCCATAAACGACGGAAGATCCTCCCTCTCTCCCATAAACGACGGAAGATCCTCCCTCCTCCCCCATAAACGACGGAAGATCCTCCCTCTCCCCATAAACGACGGAAGATCCTCCCTCTCTCCCCCCCATAAACGACGGAAGATCCTCCTCTCCCCCCTCTCTCCCCATAAACAACGGAAGATCCTCCCTCTCTCCCCCATAAAACAACGGAAGATCTCCTCTCCCCATAAACGACGGAAGATCCTCTCTCTCCCCATAAACGACGGAAGATCCTCCTCTCTCCCCATAAACGACGGAAGATCCCTCTCCCCCATAAACAACGGAAGATCCTCCTCTCTCCCCACCAAACAACGGAAGATCCTCCCTCTCTCCCCATAAACGACGGAAGATCCTCCCTCTCTCTCCCCCATAAACGACGGAAGATCCTCCCTCTCTCCCCATAAACGACGGAAGATCCTCCCTCTCTCCCCATAAACAACGGAAAGATCCTCCCTCTCTCCCCCGAAACGACGGAAGATCCTCCCTCTCTCCCCCATAAACGACGGAAGATCCTCCCCTCTCCCCCATAAACGACGGAAGATCCTCCTCTCTCCCTAAACGACGGAAGATCCTCCTCTCCCCATAAACGACGGAAGATCCTCCCTCTCTCCCTTAAACGACGGAAGATCTCCCTCTCTCCCCATAAACGACGGAAGATCTCCCTCTCTCCCCCATAAACGACGGAAGATCCTCCTCTCTCCCCCCATAAACGACGGAAGATCCTCCCTCTCTCCCCATAAACGACGGAAGATCCTCCTCTCCCCATAAACGACGGAAGATCCTCCTCTCTCCCCATAAACGACGGAAGATCCTCCCTCTCTCCCCCATAAACGGAAGATCCTCCTCTCTCCCCATAAACGACGGAAGATCCTCCTCTCTCCCCTAAACGACGGAAGATCCTCCTCTCTCCCCCCCATAAACGACGGAAGATCCTCCTCTCTCCCCCCATAAACGACGGAAGATCCTCCCTCTCTCCCCCATAAACGACGGAAGATCCTCCTCTCTCCCCCTAAACGACGGAAGATCCTCCCTCTCTCCCCATCAACGACGGAAGATCCTCCCTCTCCCCATAAACGACGGAAGATCCTCCTCTCTCCCCCATAAACGACGGAAGATCCTCCTCTCTCCCCATAAACGACGGAAGATCTCCCTCTCTCCCCATAAACGACGGAAGATCTC